ATCGTTAAAATTCCACTTGCATATCCTTATGTCGTTTTAATTTCTTTTTCCATGAAAAATAAAATTCTTTTCTTTACGAAAATTACAATGAACAATTTAATTTGTATTTAATATTCACATACGCCCAAACTCCATTACAATTTGAATTCGTTCGTTATAATACGAGCAAATGTTATTCTCAAGAATGCTATAATTTTTTTTTAAATGAAGCAGTAGCAACGCGTTTTTAAATACATTAATTTAAAAACATTATTATCAAAAGATTTTAATTCTTTCTAAACATTTATCTATTTATTTCATTAAGAAGTATTATATCTACAGTATTGTCAATTTATTATTATTTATTTTTTTATAAAAATAACTTTTATTTACGTAATTATCTTCATTTAACATTACATAAAAAAGATATATATATATATATATATATATATATATATATATATATATATATATATATATACAGTAATAGTAGTAAAATAATAATTATAGTCATCGAATGCAACGTTTGTGAAGTTTTTAAATCAAGCGTAGAGTGATATCGTGGAGCGAAACTTGATTTGATAGATGTTGGTAGCAATAATATAAAGATTAATAATGTCTTTTTGTCTCAATAGTTGATCTCTGTGAAAGACGAACGAGATCTAAACTTCAATTTTAATTATACGTAATTTTTACGTTGTATTTCTTACGAAGAAAATTGCGGTTCGACGTTTTATAATTGTATTAGAGTATATTGTAACGGCAGCTTTTTTTCTTTCCTTTTTTTTTTATTCTAAATTAAAATGGCGTACAGACTATTATTTCATGTTCGAATTCATCAACCCTAAACTCCTATTTGATAAGCAGCACAAAGGTCTTCCATAATATTCGCCAATGTAATAATACCGAATACTACAATAGATTTTCAACTTATGCGAGTCATGAATTTAATAATTTGTACGAACCTGAATCTCTCTGACATCATGGGCATTTAGTCTGTGTTATTTTAGTCGATTACATTTAGCGCGAAGAAGTACAATGCAGGCACTCACCAGCGAGTGAAAAATGAAGATGGTTATTTAACTATTGAGCATTCGGTATGTATTATTTGCAAGTTCTATCCACAGATGTAGATTTAAAGTGGCTTGAGCGCCGTATCGCATTGGGGATTGGCGAGGAGCGGAGAATCGCCGGGAAAAGGGCGCGCACATCTTACTTTTAGGAGCGCTCATGGTCCGACCTTGAATGGCTGGAGCGGCTGGTACGGGGTGAGGCCTGAGAGAGAGAGAGAGAGAGAGAGAGAGAGAGAGAGAGAGAGTATTTGACAATGCGCGAAAGGGGCTTTAGCGGTGCTCCATTCGGGTTATTGAACATCGTCGTGCCTCTCTTGTTCCTGCCTTCTTTTTTTTTTTTTACGAGTATATCCGCGTCACACTTGGCGCGCGCACTTGCCTTCCATCCGATGGGGTGTGAGCCCGCATGCGGTATATTCGAGCTATTCGAGTCTTCCGTTTATTTCCGGTCGAAGATTATTATCGACGCGCACAATGGCGCCGTTATATCGCCCTCCCCCACCCGCACCATCCCACCATCTACTTGCGCAATCATCGCGCCTCATAGCCCTTTTCAGCGGTAGCGCAGCAACGGCAATAAAAAAAAATAAAAAAATAAAATAAAATAAAAAATAAAAAAATAAAAAGGAAGAAAGACAGAAAGCCAAGTACTTTCGCACCGAGGCAACGAGCGAAGCTCTCCAAGGCAGCAGAGAAGTGTGTAAATTTCCCAGGGTTGGTGCTTTTTTTTTGTTGTTACGAATGATAAACGATAAACGCTCCCCTCTCGGTGTCGCTTTCCTCTGCGGCGGCCGTAGAGGGTGAGGGACAAGTCCAATGGTCGAGAGCGATCGGTTACTTACGACGGCTAATCAGAGAGTTTCCGCGAGACGGCGACGCAACGATGAACTCGATGGATCTTCTAACTGCTAAGCACTGCCTGATAATGTCGGCTAATCTAAGTTTGGTGAATTTCTTTGCCGAGCTTCGGGCTAAAAGACCTCAAGAAAAGACTAATTCGCGGAGGAAAATAATTTGTGACGAGGTGGGGGTGAAATATTTTTGGTCGACGGCGGCGGAGAGTCTCGGGTCGCGATAAGAAGCCGGGCTCTAGCTCTCGTCCGACGACGTAAATTCGCGAATTAAAGAACTTATTCCATTTGGGCAGCCAAAGGGGTGTGAATGCTTTCGAGGTCGCATTATCTGAGCGGCGGAGGCCGCTCGTTCGAGCCTCGTCGAGAGGAAGCTCTCGCCCCGGTTGAAAGAGGAGAATCGTGGGGGTGGGCGCGTGTAGGGGGAGTGGGCTAGGGCCGGCTAGAGGGGGGATAGAGGGGCTAAAAGAGGCGAGAGAGGACCAAAGGGATGGATGGAGGGGCACTCAGACGTTCGCGGGCGCGGCTAACAAAGATAACTCTATGCAATAAAAATGATTCAAAGTTTCCCGCGGCGGATGGCGGTTCCGATGGCGGAGCGGTTGACAATGGCGCGTCTTTGTCTCCCTCGGGCCGCGCGCCCTCTCGCCCAACCCGCGACACCTATCTTCCGGTTTAAAGTCCTGGCGTGCGCGCCAGAAAGGAACCTCGCTAACTTTTATTATTTACGACTGATATTGCAGCCGCCGCCATCGCCGCCGCCGCCGTCACCGCCGCCTCGCGACTCCTGCCGTAGAGCGGACATCCTATCGCGATACGCACGAGCGTCGGCTCGAGGAGAGACAGGGAACAAGGACCGTCCCTCCTTAGTCTCCCGTCGCCCTCGTGCCCATCGACGGTTATTACGCACTCGCTAATGCACGGGCACTCATTTTGACTCTTCTCTCCTCCCCACGCACTCTCCATACGTTTGTTTCTCGAGCCGCGAGCAAAGTCCGTACGGGGACGTTGATGCACTCGCCGAGCAGCCGAGAAAGAAAAAGCCATCGACACCGCGATCCATTTCTTATTTAAAGGTAGTTAGCGGCGTACGAGTTTTGGCGGAAGGAGATAAAACCGCGGGATGGAATAAAAATCGAAAGCCGAGCGCGGAAAAAGCTCCGGGCGGCAGCCTTATCGAATCAACGGATGAATGGAGCCGCTTGGCGCGCGCTTTTGCGATCCTCTTACGGCTCCAAGGGCAAGTGAGCTGCTTTCCTCGTGTCGACGAGGGAGCAATGGCAGGGGCGGGGCATGCGTCCTCTTTCATGTAGGTTACGCGAAAAGGGACTGAATTTGCATTTTATTCGCCGCTGTAGCCGGTCTCGGTGCGCCGCGCTCGGACATTTATTTTAATTAAATTACTCGGAAGCGTAGTCGAACAAGCCATTTCCTATAAATTATCCCCTCGCGCGTGTTCATCCACCTCTCTTTACTCCAACTCCTCCACCTCCTCTAACTGCTCGTGCTCCTGTTCCTCCTCCTCGTCGTCCCTTCGTGGTCGCTTTTCCTTCGAGTGCGGCCAGGCATTAATGTACTCTCCCGTTGATCCCACGCTGCCATTCAAATGGAATAAAGGCACTGGTCTCTTTTCCTGCGTTTCTATCCTGATTCCTTTTTTGCGACCGCTGATGCCCTCGACCGACACACGAACACACACAGGTATGGAAAGAAGGGTACATACGAGGTGCGCGACAAGGCACGGAGAAAAGCCGTTCTTCCGGCCGCGCCTTTCCATTCATTTTACGCATAATCATTTTTCAAGTATACGGGACAAGCTCGAATAAACGATCCTGTATCAGTCATTGAGTACTGATTCCATTCCGTTACGATATATTTCCATAAATTATCCCTGCTATCAACGCGTCCTAATCGCTACGCCTGACTGCGTAATATTAGTCTTATGCGCACGAGCACTTTCCTTTGTGGTTAATTGCAATGATTATAATAAAATTAATGATATTCATGGCCTAAGCTCAAAGATCAACTGGGAACAATCGCTATCCATCAGAATTTGGAATTACTTTTATAATTAACAAGATGAAATTGTATTAGTAGCTTGTAGTTGTGGGCATAAATTATAAATATATATTTGAATTATAAATATATTAATATGTTATAATAAGTCTATATCAATAACATTTATTTGCTTTAAATTCATCTTTTCCGAGTTTTATCTTTGCCAAGAGAATGAATTTAATGATTTATAATCTCAATTTACGTGCACATAAGAGATCATTGGCTAATAAGTCAATGCTATTATTTACTTCATAAAATAATAAAATTTGACAAATTTTATATTATATAAATTATATGAATACTGGTATGAATTTTATAAAACAAAAATTTTATTTATAACAATTATTTAAAACATTGTGTATAAATTAACAATTAGATTTATTCATTGTTTTCCAGACATGCAGTATTTAATAAACAAATTATACGAATAACAAAATAATATTATTATAGTATTAATAAGTGTAATAATAGAATTTAGTTAACTTCTAATATAATGCTTTTACATATACGTGCTACTCCTAACTTTAATGTTTCATATATTCAATTGTTGAAGAATATCAATCAAGCGATGCTATCAAAAATATATTTAAAGTTGTAAAATATGTTAAATTGCGAAAACAAATACAACTGTTTATACATAAAAATCATTATCTTAAGGTATATAAGTTGTCATACGCAATAAGCAAAACATTAAATGGATCTACATTAAGATTCAAATAGATTACTTTATATAATACAGAACCCTAGTATTATATTAATAATACAACAGTACTTTTGTAATTTAATAAATTGAGAATTGTATTATTCGATTATAATATGTGTCATTATGAGGGCAAATGATCAGTGTTTATAAAGATCTAATAAAGAATTTAATAATAGAATTGTGAACTATGCAATAAACTACTGTCTTAAAGAGGTTAGATTGGACAAAAACTAATTCAACAATAACTGCAAATAAGCATAACTCTCACAATTTTCAGTTCAATTTTCAATTCGTAAATATAAATCATAGAGAAATATAAATCGGCGTATCAATTACCTGGTAGGGAACATCCTCGTTTTTACCGCGAATCACCGTGACATTCAGCGAAAGAATACAACACTTTTCTGTATTCCATACGTAGAGAATATCGTCTCTGATTTCAAGAATATTCCTCGTATCTTTGGCAACGTTCGACAAGCTACTTTTTAACTCCTTAAATAATTTCTTATCGTTCAATCCCAGCGGATCGGTACACGAAGTCATTTTTAATAAGTTTTGCGGACACGCGCGATTACGTACATATATATTTCTCGCCGACAATACAAAACAACGAAGTTGGCTGCGAACGAAATGATGGGAACATGCTTACTCGTGACGCGCATGCGTGATAGAAAATCGAAGGCGCTCTTGTGCGGCAGGAAGTCAGTCGAGAGTCGAGAGCCGCTTATTGTTGCCAATCTCACCAATCTTCCAACAACGTTCGCAACTTTTTCCATTGTATTAAGTTGAAAGAATGTTAACGACTTTTAGCTCGACTTGAAAATTATTTCTTGTTGCATGTGGGTTAAGTAGCAAACTGCTCTTATCAATGTCTCTAAAATTATTATTGTTAGGAAATTATCGCCTATATATGTTCTTTTATCAAAATCTATTTTTTTTATTCAAACAATCTATCTCAATAGAAATATTAATTAAAATTTGTATTTTTTTTTCAAGCGCAAAATTATTAAAGACGATTGATTTATCGTTATGAGGAACATTATCAATTATATTGCAATGTGATGAATAATGATAAACGTATGAGGTATGGTATTATCGACGCGAAGAATCCTTCTTCGTTCTAATATTTCGCAAGAATGTAGATAAATCGGCATTCGTATAATCAATCATTACGATTATGATTAGAATGTTGCTGGAATCATATTAAAGACATCTATATTTTTTAACAATAACTATTTCATTAATATCGAGCTAATGTAACGGCGACTGACGTATTTATTCAATTGTCGTATTTCTCCACATTATTACGCCAATTTCTATATACCGGAGAAACATAGATTTTCACAGCAGCTTTTGCGATTGTTAATATTTAACCTTATGTCCAAAAATATCAATTAATTATGATTATTGATACTATTAATTATCAATAATAGGAAAATATGTTTTTATATTCTAGATAATTAAACACTATATTTTAAAGAATTATAATGTAATAATTATTGATTTTGCCATGAGAATGATCAAAAACGATTTATGAATAATAGCATATTATAACTGTTCAGTTAACTCAACAACCGACGCTTATTCGTGCTTTTAACTTTATTTAAAAATAAATTGTTATTCGTGATTTTTCAACAATACCTTACTCTAAGTTTGTGTTTAAGATTTCCTAATAATTTCGCGTCACGACGAATGCACGTTGCTACTTACAAATTACCTCAGGAGTACGAGAGGCGAATCCGAGGCTTTTAATAGGATAATCTTAAGTTTACGCAAGTCATGTGAACAAGTGTGAAATGTTAAACGTCTGAGAGTAATCCATGTACTTAAAATAGGCATACATTGATAATGGCGTGTGCGACAAGGACGTACCTCTATTAATTTTCCTCGTGTTCCCCTTTGTCAACAAAGTCTAATTCATATTTCGCCTTTTTTACATGTATACAGTTCAGACATACAAATTATCGTACAAATAACAATTATAATAAAATACAACTAAGTATATATATATATATATATATATATATAT